AAGGTCTATAGTTGTAAATACTGTAGCACCTTTCATCCTTCGCATAGCTCGTTAATACGAGGTAAGTGAAAGCTATGAGTCGGCAATAATTTATTTATTGGACTCATATCTAAACATACTCTGACTTTCTTAAACGATCCGTCAAAGTTATATTGGTCTACGGCCAGCAGCGCCAAGTTAACTGGCGTCTGTTGATAGTTCATTTCTATCACTCCATCTGCTAACCATTTCTCAACTTGTTCTTTTATCACAGCCTCGTGTCTCCAGGATACATAGTTCCTTGAGGGACACTTTAACTGTGTAAAGTCCACCTTGGTGAAGTCAAGGCTGACATATCCGTCGATAAAACGGAATTTTGCCCAAACTGTGATCTTATCTTTTTATTAACTAGAATCAGATCCATGATTTTGTTCGCAAAGTCAGGTATTAATGCCTTGACTGTGTCTGATGGGGGCTTATATGGGTTCAGACAGTTATCATCTGACTGATCATTTAATGGACATATGTTATTTGGTAGACCAGTTACGGTTATACCTAGAGGGAGTAAATCGCTCATCCCGACTATGATGTCGTACTTCTGTGACATCTTAACTATCACAGCTTGGGTAGTGATATTCCTATCATCGGTCAGGGAGATTTTAACATCTGTGGCCATGGTATCACACTTAGCAGTTTTATCATCAGCTAAAATGAGGTGAGTTGTTTGTGTTCTCCTTTCGATATCTTTCATTAATGCAAAGCGATCGGATATACATGAAATTTCTGAACCAGGATCAATCAACGCAAGGATTTTATTTCCATTGCAGTATACAGGGATGATTACACTCTCATCTAAAGAGTCGTTGTATTGTCTGTGTAACGATTGTGCCTGGTAGTACCTTCACTCCAATTAAATGCTGGGCCTTTTGTTACAAGACTTGGCGTGATAGCCATTGGTCTTCTCACACTTGTCACACTTAGTAAGAAAGTGTGTACATCTTGGTGCATGTCTGCCAATCCAATACCCGTTAGGGGTCAATTGGTACATGTCATACCCACACTGTGCGTCGACACATTTCTTAATCTCCTTAAATGGAGGTTCCTTGTTTTAGGGTTTAATAGCCATTGGTCTTCTCATCGGTGTGCTCCCGCGGCTTCTTAACAGTTAAAACCCATTTAGGAATCTTAAGTTCCTCGTACTATTAAGAGTACGTTTCTAATTTACGTACGGCTTAAGAATACGTTTATAGCATAGAGTCTAATGTGCAGGCCCGGTTATTACATAAATCGGTTCCGCTTCAGCCCTTCTTAGATGACATTGATGCGTGGGGACGCAAATCTGGCCTCGAACAGGGTGTCATTAAACCCCGAGTACGATCTACCGACTTGCGACACGCGGCGCCAACCCTCCGTATAAATTGTGAGCTTATCACGCCGTCGCTTGCAGACGCACCTTGGAACACACGTTACCTCCCCCTGACGATGGCGCCCACACATGCCAAACCGAAGCACTTCAAATATCTGGGGTTCCCACTCTCTCACGGAATACCAGGGATCAACCTCGCCAGACAATGGAATCCCTGGTTGCAGCATTGTCTCTGGGTATCGCCTCTTTCCGCACTTATGGCTTCCATGGCTTCAGCTGACGACACCCCCGCGACCGACTGGTGCGCGACCGACTGGTGCTGTTCAAAACATTCATTCTATCCACGGCTACATATGGCTTGAACATTATTGCCTGGGCTCCGCCTATATGGAAGGATGCGTTGGACCCCCTGTTCGAGCGCTTT